TCAAGGTCCTGAGTTTAAACCCCAGGACCATCAAAAAAAAAAAAAAAAATCTGTGAAGGTGTAAAGATGGCCCAGGGTTCAGCAGGGAGCAGGTGAAACTGCTGCACAGGGGTGTAGCTGCATGGGGGTGTGCCCACTCGCCCTCAAGTCTCCTAGATGGATGCAATGGATAAACTACCTCACTGTTCACACCGGGAGGTACAACTCAGCAGCAAGAACTGGGTGTGGAGGTTCATGCCTATAATCTCAGCTCCAGGGAGGCTGAGGCAAAAGCATTGAGTCTGAGGTCAGCGTGGGCTATATAGCAAGACCTTGCCTCAAAAAAAAAGAAAAAAAACCAGTAAATAATTGACAAACACAACAGAATACCATGAACCCAAAATGCATGTGCCAGCTCAAGGAAGCTGAGTAATAAATCTATGTTCTACAGGAATTTGTCCAAAAAAACTCTAAGGACAGGCAGGGATGAGTGGCTGCCAAGGCCTAGGGGTTTGGGAGGGGTCACCTATAATGAGGCACAGTGGTAGAAATTTGGGGGACTAGGGTAGAATCATAATGCATCTTTTTTCTTTTTCCCATAATGGAGATCGAACCCAGGGCCTCATGCATGCTAGGTAAGCACTCTCTTTTTCTTGGTGGTGCTGGGGTTTGAACCTAGGTCCTTGCGCTTGCTAGGAAGGTTCTCTACCACTGATGGAGGAAGGATAATGCTGCTGTATGCTGTCACCAGTCACAGAACACACACCAAAATGGGCCACACGAAAGTTAGAACTGACACAGAGACAAAGAGCTGGTACCTGGTCCTTGGTTCTCCCCTCTCGTTCCCGGATGTACGTGGTCACAATTCGCTCCGTTTCCTCTCGTAACCGGGGGTAGGAGCTGAGCTAGGGAGCAAGCAGAGGGTCAAGTTGGCGGGGTCTTTGTGGCCCAGAGGAACAGCAGTGTGAATTACATGAGTGGAAAATGCAGGGGAAAGAAAGGGGCATGGCCACAAAGTCCCCACTCTGCTCTTGTCTCACAGCTGCTAGGGCTGGGAGACAACAACAGGACAGTGTGTGTGGGGGAACAGTGGAGTAGAGCGGGGGAAGGGGTGCCCATGCACGCACAGTGCTGCTTGGCGAGCCAGAAATGAGAGGAGAAAGGTGGCAGAGACAGCAAGTGACATGTCCTGGGTGGCCCCCTCCCACCCTGCACTGGGTGAAGGTGGGCCCACTGAGCACCCTCACCAAGCTTGTGAGCATGAGGCGGTTGCTGTAGGGGGATGGGGGCAGCATCTGGGCCATTGGCCTTGGAGTGACCCACTTGCTGGACACCATTCTGATTGGGGCATCTTTCGTGCCCATTTAGCCAACACCCCCAGGGGTCCTCACCTTTGTCAGTGTCCGTGATGACCAACTTGGGGGGAATGTGTCTTCTGCTATTAGGTTAAAATGGAGCGGATGCTCATGAAAAACTCTTCAAGGTCCCTTACTTAATATAGGCACACGCAGGGCTAAAGGTCACAATGCTGTACTGTAGTGACGGCTGGGAAACTGCCTTTTTTTTCTTTGTGGTACTGGGAATTGAACTCAGCCTTGCTCTTACTAGGTGAGTGCTCTATTATTTGAGCCACACCCCCAGCCCTTTTTGCTTTATTTTCAGGTTAGGGTCTCACGTTTTTTGCCTAGGCTAGCCTGGACCATGATCCTCTTGACCTCAGTCTCCCATTTACCCTAGATGATAGGGCATACCACCATGCTCGGCTTACTGGTTGAGATGGGGTTCTCACTATCTTTCTGTCTGAATGTGGCCTTGAATCTATATTCTTCACATCTCCACCTCCGAAATAGTTGGGATTACAGGTGTGAGCCACTGAGCCCTGAGTGAAACCATCTTTCTTTAAGGGTTTCAGGAGCAGGTACTGCTTTGTCAGTTTGATGCATTTGGAAATGTCAAAGGCCTCCCATCCCTAGTTGTTCCCAAAATTGCAAAGTTGAGACCTATCTGTGATGCAGCTGCCCCCATCCTGTCTGCCAATGCAACGTTGGCACGTGAACACCGGTGCATGGAAGGAGGTTCCAACCAAGGCACAATGTTCCAGATGCTCAGGGCAAGAGTGATGAATGGCAGGGACATGGTGGGGGACTAATGCAGAGGTGATAAGAACAAAACCTGTTACCTTCTCGGCACACTTTTTAATGACTGTGGCCAGTTCTGAGACCACGAGGTCAACACACTTCAAACTTGGCTCTTTGAGTTTTACAATCTGTTTTTTCACAATGGCTTCAAAGGCCATGTCGGGGGTGAAGAGCCCCGTCCTGGGCCATGCAGGGGATGGGATGAGGTAGAAAGACACCCAGGGACAGTGCAGGCCACACACATGGGACAGGAGACAGAGAAACAGAACAGAGGAGAATCAGCTGGTTAGTACGCGCATAGAGAAGCCTGGGCCCACATTTGCCCCGGAAGCTTCTTCTGTCCAGAGGCCTGCGGGGGGAGGGCTAGTCTGGGGTTTAATTAGACAGGGGACGTGGTCATCAAACGGGAACTAAGGCATGCCTCAGGCTCTAGGAGGACAATTGGCAGCCCTTCTGGTTTCTTTCCCCTTCCTTTTTAATGAAAGAGCTTAAGAAGCAAATGGGGCTTTTTCCAGACTGAGAACAGAGGGTGCAAGCAGAAACTCCCTGCCAGCCCAGAGCACCAGGGACACAGAGGTCACGCAAGCAGACTGCCCACCGGGAAGCACTTTAGCTGCCTGGCAGAAGCATGCTGCCCTGGGAACCAGGCCCTGTCGGGCGAGCCCAGCGCATCCTGCCGAGTGGAGGCGGTCACCCATGAACCGAGGCACACAGGCCCTTGTAAAGGGGTGGACGGAAGATGGGCTGGCTGTAGGTGGGTAGGGGGACAGCACAGGGAGCAGGGGGGTTTTGTGAATCTGGTCACTGAGCACTTGTTATGCTGCTAGTGTTCAGGCCTTCTGAGCACCATGGGGACAGAAAAGTGGCTGGCTCCAGGGAAGCCAGAGGATGCTGAGCGTTTTGTCAAGAAGAAGCGACACTAGAGGGGCTTGGCCTCCAACAGCTGATGCGGGGACCCTCTCTGCTTCCCAGAAGGCAGCAAAGCAACAGCCACACAAAAGCCCAATTCACCAGACACATGCTAGGCTTGGTATCAGGGTCCCAGGAGGTTTTGGCCAGATGTAGAAGGCTGGCACCACATGGACGTGCTCCTGTCCCTGCCTCTGGGGAGAGGCTGTGAGGCTGGGCACTGACCAGAGCTGGGAGCCTGATACCAAGCTGCCATCTGTCCCCGCTTTCCAAGGCTCCGATACCTTACTGGTACACTGCCTAACTGTATTGATTAGCTCCTGGATAACCAGGTCGACGCATTTCAAACAGGGCTCTTTCAGCTTCACCACCTGCTTTTTCACAATGGCCTCGAACGCCAAGTCCGGCGTGAAGAGCCCAGTCCTAAAAACATCCATACCCGGGGTGGGGGGGGGGCAGGGGAAATAGGTCAGAGAGAAACAAAGCAATGTCAGCCACTTCTGAGGGACAGGCCAGGTCCCCAAGAAGGAAGGTAGTCACAGCAACTCTGGGGGTTGGATGCCTGGGTCCACAGCTGGGAAGCACCCAGGATGACCCGAGGACCTGGGGTGAGGAAGGATGGACAATTGGTACGGCTACCTTGGGTCACTTATGGAGGGGACCAAAGAGGCTCACAAGGAATCTGGGATGGGGACAAATGCTAGTTTCCTACACATATGCTTCAGCTCTATCCCAACCCATCCCAAACAAATCCACAGTGGGCTTTCACAGTTAGGCCAAGGCCTGTGTTAAACCCAGGGGCCTAGATGCCAGGACCTAGAACACGATGACAAAGAACAAAAACCCAGCCACCATCAGTGCCTTGGAGACACACACGGACAGGCTGGCAGCTGTGAAAAGTACCCCAGAACACTTGAGGCCTCACAATTGGGGGGCCCCAGTTTATGGGGCCTGAATGGCTGGAAGGGGGCACTGCTGAGGGGAAGGGAACATGGTGGCACTCCCTGGGGAACTTGCCTGACTCCATGGATGTTCTTGATGGCGTAGCTGATCTCTCGTCTTAAGTCTTTTTCATCAAACTCCATCTGGGAAGACACAAGGCAAACATGTGCAAGGGGGGTCCCTGCAGCATCCCCCACAAGCTGTGTGTGGTTGTACTCTTGGAGCAAATTTATTTGGAACTGGGGTTTGAACTCAGGGCCTCATGCTTGCTAGGCAGGCACTACACAGAATGAGCCATGCCCCCAGCCCATTTTGCTTTAGGTATTTTTCAAATAGAATTTTTGTCCAGGCGGGCCTGGACAGAGACCCTCCTACCTTACAGCCTCCTGAGTATCTGGGATGATGGGCGCATACCACCACGCCCAGCTTTTTATTGGATGAGATGGAATCTGGAGAATTTTTTTGCCCAGGCTGGCCTCAAGCCATGGTCCTCCTGATCTCTCTGCCTCCTGAGTAGCTGGAGTAAGCCACTGTGCCCAGCTTCCAGGGCAGAATGTTTCACAGGTCAAAGTGAAAAAGAATAATGTTAAAAGGCCAGTACTAGGAAAGGTCTATGAAATGAACACTCACAGAACCCGAATACATCAAGAACTTCCCAAAACATACCTATACCGTCACAAAGTAGTTCTAAACTCTAATCTAGAAGTTTTCCTTGAGGAATTAACAAAGATGTCCACTACATGCCGAGAACTATCCATAATCGCTCAAAAATGTTAATCTAACCCAAATGTCCAACAAGGAGACTGATTGAATGCAAGATGGGACAATCACAAAACAGGATGTTATTTAGTCACTAAGAATCTGCTATCCTAGGCTACATATTGAGAGCCTATTTCAATAAACAAATAAATAAAAGCAAGGGCTGAGTGTGGTGGTTCATGCTTAGAATCTCAGCTATTTGGGAGGTGGAAATCAAGAGGATGGTAGTTCAAGACCACCCCAAGCAAAAAGTTAGCAAGACCCCATCTCAACCAATAAGCCAAGTATGGTGGTACACAACTATGGCCCCAGCTACTTGGGGGCTATAGGTAGGAGGACTGTGGTTCAAGGCCAGCTCTAGGCATAAATGTAAGACTCTATCAGAAAAATAACTAAAGAGGGCTGAGGGTATGACTGAAGTGGTAGAGTGCCTGCCTAGCAAGCATGAGGTCCTGAGTTCAAATTCCAGCACACACACACACACACACACACACACACACAAAAGTGTACTGAACACGTACAGATATTTTTTCTTGTCATTATTCTCTAAGTTATATGCTATAATAACTACTTCTATAACACTGGCACTGTGTGAGGTGTTAGGTGTCCTCTAAAGATGATTTACAGTCCGCGGGAGGATGCGTGTGGGTTCTATACATGTCACACATCCCTGGCTATCCCTGGATATGTAACAGCTTTGGGCTTTCGAGGGGGGTCCTGGAGCCATACCCTGGGGATGCCAAGGGACAACGGTACACAGCAGAGAGAAAAACTCACAGGGAAAACGTCCCCAGGTGTTTTTGGAGGAAGATGGAATGGGTTATGGCACCTGCACTGTGGTGTGTACCACCTCATAGTGTGTGACACAAGAATGTCCTTCTGTGGGAAAGTGCACCTATATCTAGAAGCACAACTGTGCAGACAGACCTGCTAGCATGTTCAGAAAATGGCAGCTTTGGGGCTGGGAATTTGGACTTTCTCTTTTTAATTTTGTCTTTTGGTGGTCCTGGGGTTTGAACTCAAGGTCTCATGCTTGCTAGGCAGGTTCTATCAGTTCAGTCACTCCACCAGCTCTTATACTTGAGTTATTTTATAGACAGTGTCTCATGTTTTTGCCCAGAGCTGGCTTTGGACTTCGATTCTCCTACTTATGCTTTCCTCAGAAGCTGGAACTGCAGCTGTGTAGCACCATGGCTGACTTGTTGGTTTGGATGGGATCTCACTCAGTGCTTGCCCAGGCCTTGAACTGTGATCCTTCAGATCTCTACTTCCCTAGTAGCAGGGATTACAGAAGTGTAACACCACACCAGCCTCCCCTATCTTTTTTTTTTTTTGACGACTTGCTTGAAGTTTTACATTTTTTATAACATTGTTATAAAAAATAAAATAAAATTCTGCTGGATGTGGTGGGGCACACCTGTTATCTCAGCACTGGGGAGGCTGAGACAGGAGAATTGAGGGTTCCAAGCCAGCCTAGGCTACTGAGTGAGATCCTGTCTCAGAGAAAAAAAAAAACAATACAATTCTTTTCAATAAACACCCATAACCCTAAACACCCACAGAGGGCCTGTTAGCATCTGGGTGTATGGCTTTTCACAACTATTTCTGTATAAATGGGTAAGCATGCCATGAACACATGTCACGCACCCATCATCCTCTGAACATACCTATTTTGTAATGAAAAACCAAACTCTGTGCTTGTACCATCTGAATTTCAGGCAGTAACCACCTTATGAGTGCTTTTTAAAAATTTGATTCTGGGGATGAAACCCTGGGCCTTGTGTGTGCTCTGTAAGCGTTCTACCACTGAGCAACATCCCCATCCTTGTTTTTTTTGAGTCAGGGTCTCACTATGTACCCCAGGCGGGCCTCAAACTTGCAACCTACCGAGTCTGGGATTACAGGCGGGCACCGCCATGACTATTTTCCAACCACAGTTGGTCAGATCTATGGATTTGGAAACTGTGGATTTAGAAGGCAAAAAAAAAAAAAAAAAGTATTGGATTTTGCCCACAAGAAAATGGAACTTTTTAACTACTCTGCCTAGAGCATCCAAGCTGCCTACTCTGGGAAGAATGCTTGTGGGGAGCCCTCCACCCCACCACATGCTGCCTACTGCAGCCTCAGGCTGGGAGGCAGTGGCTCAAGACCTCCTGGCCTGGAGAGAGGCCAAGATCAAGACCGACCTTCACCAGCTCAAAAGGAAAGCGCTCGTGGAAGATGCGGTTGATTCTGGCGCCTCCGGACAGCTCCAGCGTGTCCACTTGGTCTCCCGAGCCCTCGATCCGTTTCTCAAAGTCCACCCCAAACTGCTGGACCATCCTGCGACGGAGAAGAAAACTCGAAGGTCAAAACCGGTTTTCCACACATGGTGTTCTAAGCCCGGCCACCGCTTACTTTTCTTTTATCCTTTTTTAGCAACAAAATGTTTGCATAAGTGAAAACAAATAAAAAAAATACAAGAGCTGCAGATGGCAAATGCTGGAAACCTGCTATAGTCAGTCACTGAATCTGAAGGTTCAATGAGTGCTATTCCTTTGCAGATGAAGTTCTGGGGCCAGTTCTCTGCCCTGAAGTTCAACCTTGATATGGTGAAGGGAGGTGGTGCAAAGGCAGCCCCTCCTCACAAATTCAGGTGGCATCCCCAGGTCTCTACCAGCTCCCAGGACTTTCAGTGGGGTCTCCACCGCTGATGGGCTGGGAGGCTTTGGTTGGGTGGCGCTGCCCTCAAGAGTCTCAGTTTCCTCATCTGCAAATTGGGTCGATGGGAATGGTGTCTACCTCACAGGGTCACTGGCACGACTGAAGGTATTTCTAGATTTCGAGTCAAAGTCACTGTTACTTTGTACATCCACAAAAAACCCAAAAATGCTGCTAACTAATGGTAACTCAAATTCAAATCCTGATGTCAGAGAAATTTTATCTTATTTTTGCTTCTGGGCCAGGCTCTTCCTCAAACCTGCCCAGGCTGGGCTCGAACTTACCCAAGCTAGAAGAACTCCTGAGAAGCTCAGACAACATATGTGCCACCAGACCTGGCTTTTCACCATTCGTTTTCTTATTTGCTCATTTTCCATTCAATTCCTCCCATTGTTTTTCTTTCCCCAGAACTCCAGGGAAGGAATGGACATCTGTCCCATTCACTAACACGAGCCTGGCTTTAGGACAGGGTCTGACACATTAGGAACTCTCAACCAATGTTTGTCGAATGACTAAACGAGCAGACAGGTTCCACACAGCCGAAAGAGCCGTGGCTGGTAAAGAGGGAGGGGCAGCACTTACTGCAGCAGGGCTTTGGTTTTGCGAGTGGGGTCGTCAGGCCGGAAGTTCTTATACTCCTCCACCTCCTTCTCCAGGGATAGCAGCTGGCTCTGCAACTTGCTGCGCAGGGCCGGCAGCGACTCCCGGATGTGGTTGGTCAGTTGCTGCAGGAGAGAGGATGCAGTTAATGTGGGCAGGAGGCCGGCAGGGTCAATGCCACCCTCTGCCCAGCATACCCCATAACCTTGGGTGGAAGCAGAAACATGCAGCTATGGCCACGCGCAAACCCGGAGCAAGGAGAGGAGGCCAGCATGGCTGTCCAAAGAAGAGAGAGGCTACAAGAGCCACAATAGCCTACAGGCAGATCAAGAGTGGCTGCGCCATGAGGATGTACAGGCCAAACAGCTCCACAGGACCCTGAGCAAAGGAATGAAGGACAGGCAACGGCCTGTCTAATGCACAGATCGAAAGGCAGCCCTACAGACTAAGTAAGACAGAAAGGTCTCCCAGGAGAGGTGTGCACATCTGCTGGGCTCCCTTCTGTGAAGAAAAGGGACAGAGCCAGGATGCAGCTTTGCAGGGGCTGGATTTGCATCAACAGAGCAAAGACAGCACTGGAAGAGACAAATGTGGGATCCAGGAGAGAAGGGAGTAGAGGCTGACAGAAGGAGACTCGTTGCTCTCCTTTAAGATCTATGGTTCTACTTTTTGTTGTGTATTTTTATTTTGGGTCAGTACTGGGGTTTGAGCTTAAACCTTTACACCCACTAGGCAGGCACTTTACCACTTAAGCCACTCCACCAGCCCTTTTTTGTGATGGTTTTTTTGAGATAGGGTCTTGAGAATGATTTGCTGAGGCTGGCTTCGAACCATGATCTTCCTGATCTCTGCCTCCTGAGCTGCCACTGGCACCAGCTTGGTTTTACGTTTATTTGTGAGTTCTTGGAGGCTGGAACCCAGAGCCTCCTGCATGCTAGCTCTGCCACTGAGCTACACCCTGGCTGTTTGTTGTGCTTTTGAACCATGTGAATTTGTTAACCGGTCACCAACTTTAAAAGGGAGGTAGAGAAGCACAAAAGGACAGGGGATGATCCTTTCAATGGGCTGTGGGGGAACAAAACTTGATAAAGAGCAGTGAGTGTGTCATGGCTGGCCAGAGTGGGAGAGCACAGGGAAAGGAAGCAAAGATGGAGCAAGATAAACCAGGAAGAGAAGGAGGAAGAAGGGTCCTTTACTGTAGGCATGGGCTCCCCAAGATCTGTGACTGTGTCATCCTTTATGGGAAGGAGGAGTCCTTTCTGCTATCATGGACAGAAAGAAACCCAGGCAGGGTCATGATTAGTAAGAGTGGGGTCTGCAGGAGGAAGGGAAGGAAGGAAGGGAAAGACAGGGTTGCATCACTGCATAGATTTTAAGTGTTTATTTACTTATTTGTTTTGGTGGCACTGTTCTTGTCGATGAGCCCTGTGAATACACTACCTATGGAAAGAGTGACTAGAAAACAATGAAACACCAGTGAGGCTGGTGTCAGATCCTCTGGCCTGTCATGCAGCAGAAGTGCTATGCACTGAACACCCATGGTCCCACCGAATGCAGTGACCGTTCTCTTGATGGACAGTCGGAAAAGCAGGGGCAAGATCACCTGCTGAGAGGCTGGGCTGGGTTTTGCCCCTTGAGGGTCAGGCTGCAGAGGGCTCTGACTTAGCGCCAGTCTGGTGCTGCCTGCTACTTGGTGAGCCCAGGTGACCTCTGAGCAGATCACCAACCCCAGGAAATGTCTGCAAAGTTCTGGGCATGTGACTAAATAATTACATGCCAATTAAATGCTAATTAAAGTAACCGTGATAATAATAGCCTTGCTAAAAATAGTCACAGTAGCAACTTACTAAACACCATTCATCTCCAGGCTCGGCATTAAATACTCTTATTATGAGAACGGCAAATGTGGATTGAACACATTTTGGCTAAAACAAGTCCTGTGCTGGACTAAGGAAAGCCAAAGTGTGGTTAGATGCTGTTGCGCAGTGCGCAGCCTGAACCACTGTGTTTGACGGGCCTAAACCCTCATTGTACCTGATTCAAGGTCTTCTGCAGGTGTGGGGTACCCATGCGGTCAGCCATGTGCCGGTAGGCGGGGTGGGAGAGGAAAAACTTCCTCTCTGCTGCCAGTGCCGCACGGATGTCCTTCTTGCCTTCAATGTCTTTCTGGCTACGGTTCACCACGCCAATGTAGCCTGCAGGGAGAAAGTCAGGGTAGGGGCTATGCTGGGCAAATAGTTCACAAGACTCTATCTTGAAAATAACCAACACAAGAAAGGGCTGGCAGAGTGACTCAAGTGGTAGAGCGCCTGCCTAGCAAGCATGAGGCCATGGGTTCAAATCCCGGTGCTACAAAGAAAGAAAAGAAAAAAAAATTGAAAAGTAAGCTAAGTGTGGTGAACACCTGTCATCCTGACATGTAGAAGGCTAAGGCAGGAATATCAGCTTCATGCCAACACCAGCCTGGGTTACATAGAGAGACCCCACCTCAAAAAAAAATACTGAGGTTCCTCTTGTGAGAACACTTGAACAGGAACCTGAACCATCCTCCATCTACATGAAATAACCAGTTGACTGGGAATGACAATTGGTCAAATCCTAAGTGTGGGATGTGGTAGGGTCTGGTTTCTTTACAAATGAATGGCATAGAAAAACAAAAGGGATAAAAAGCAATATTTGAAAAGAAATGTGGGGGCTGGGGGTGTGGCTTAAGCGGTAGAGTGCCTACCTAGTAAGCATGAGGCCCTGACTTCAAACCCCAATACACCAAAAAAAAGAAAAAAAAAAAGAGACAGATAAAGAATATGTGGTTATTTCTGTATTAACTGAGCAGAAAACCTAGGACTTGCTTTCTCCCCTGGAAGGAAGACAGCAGTAACTGACAAGGACGTATGGGGACTCAGTATCAGCTGTGAGTAACAGGCACTGAAGCAGGGTGGCAGGGCCATGTAGGCCCCACGAACCTTTCTCTTTGCTTTTTTAGAGTATTCAAAAAGTTCATAATAGCCAGGTGCCGGTGGCTCACACCTGTAATCCTAGCTACTCAGGAGGCAGAGATCAGGAGGATCATGGTTCAAAGCCAGCCCAGGCAAATAGTTCTCCAGACCCTATCCTGAAAAAACCTTCACAAAAATAGGGCTGGTGGAGTGGTTCAAGGTATAGGCCCTGAGTTCAAGCCCCAGTACCTCAAAAATAGAAAGCAGTAACAAAATTAACAAAAGGGGCCTGGGGTGTTGCAGCTGAGAAGTAGAAAATATGCCAGCATAGGTGAGCCCTAGATTTTAGCCCCAGCACCACAAAAACAAGAACATAATAAATTGATTAATGAAAGTTAATCTGGATGTGGTGCTGAATGCCTGTAATCACAGTACTTGGGAGGCTGAGGCAAGAGAATTGGGAGTTCCAGGCCAGTTTGGGCTACATAGTAAGACCCATTCTCAAAAAGTAAAACAACAAAATTACAAGGGGCTGAAAGTGTGGTTCAGTGGTAGAGCATGTGCTTAATGTTCACAACACGTCCATTTCCAACACCAGAACCAAAAAAAATAAAAAAATTAAAAAGTCCCAGAGTACTGTTTGAAAAGAAAGCCACAGAGAACCAGCTAGTGGCTGTCTGGGGAAGCAGGGCTGGGCAGAGTTCAGTGTCTGTATACTTGTTTTCTAATGTTCCAGAAAGGAGCAGGTATTAACTATATAATTATAAACAATATATGCAAATAAAAAGCAGAAGACACATATGCAACAGGCATGGTGGCACATGTCTGTAAACCTAGCACTCGGGACGCAGAGGCACGAGGATACTCTAAGGCCAGTGTGGGTTATGTGGTGAGACCCCATCTCAAAAACAAAATCCAGCAAGGCCCTGGTGGCTCACGGCTGTAATCCTACCTACTGGGGAGGCTGAGATCACGAGGATCAGGATTTGCAGTCAGCCTGGACAAATAGTTTGTGAGACCCCCATCTCTAAAATAACCAGAGCAAAAATGGGACTGGAGGTGTGACAAAAGCAGTAAAGTGCCTGTGTAGCAAGCGTGAAGCCCTGAGATCAAACCCCAGTCCCACCAAGAAATAAAAGATATAAAAAAGTTCAAATATAAGTGCCAGGGACATGGTGGTTTTATGGTGGCATGCTTGTCTAGCACTCTCAAGATACTGGGTACCATTCCCAGTACCACAAAACAAAACAAAGAAAAGGGCATGGTAGAGAGGAGGCCCAAACAATGTGTACACATGTGAGTAAATATAAAAACGATGAAATTAAAAAAAAAAAAAAAAAAAAAAGATTTCAAGCTCTTAAAAAAAAAAAAAAGCACAAATGCTTATCCCAGCCCATCCCCTCTCTCCCAGCACCCTCTTGGTGCCCCCTACACCATGGTCCCAGTCTCCCAAGCTGTACCTCTTCTCAAGGGGAGCAACTTGTTCTCTAAGACGTCCCTGGCATCAGTGCCTTCGTCCATCAGGTCCAGCTTGGTGATGACGCCAATGGTCCGCAGGCCTGAAAGAGCCCAAGGTGACAGGGTGCCATGAGGAAGGAGCACAGGCTGCTTGCCCCAGGTCACTTTTCACCAAATTGGCCCTGCCACTGTCAGGCCATGTGACTGGGGACAAGCTATATGTTACTTGCCTGGACCCCCATTTCCTGAGTATCCAATGCAGACAGTTAAGGGCGGCTATCAGAGGGCTATGTGCATGGATGACCCTAGCATGTGGCAAATGCCATTAGTAAATGGCCACCACCATTGTCATCACTTGTGTCAGCATCAGTACCCCTGCTGCAGGGCCCTGGGGACACAATGCGGCCCAGGTCAGTTTCAAAGTGTGCTCCTTGAGTACTGTGCTAAGAGCCCTCCTGCTCACATTCTGCAGGTCAGAGGGCAAGGGGGCCACACTGGGAAACAGTCACAAAGCTGGTACCCAGTTGGAAGGGGAGAGATGGAGCCAGGCAGTGAGTGGGATGTGACTGGGATGGGATTCTGGGGGCATCAACTTCAGTGGAAATGTCTGATCCCATTGGAGCATTGTTCATGAGAACAGAAACAACCCCAATGTCGAGGAAAAGGGAGGGGGTAAGTCAACAAGGCTTACCTCAAATGGCAACACAGCCCTCCCAAGGAAAAACACACACTATCACTATAGTATAAAGTAGGAACATACACATACAACAGGAAACTAAGGAAAGATTGTCCTATTTTTAAAAATAAGAATTGGGCTGGTTAGAGTGACTCAAGTGGTAGAGCACCTGCCTAACAGGCAAGAGGCCCTGAGTTCAAATCCCAGTACCACCAAAAAAAAAAAAGTTAAAAATGAGTTTATAGGTCAGGCAAGGATTTACAGGTCATGCCTGTAATCCCACCTATTCAGGAGGTGGAGATTGGGAGTACTGCATTCAAAGCCAGCCTGGGCAAAAACTTCTCGCAATCCCATCTTCATCAGTAAAGCTGGGCGGGTGGTGTGCGCTTGTCATCCCAGCTGTACGGGAAGCACAAACAGGAGGGCCCTAGTTCAGGCCATCCTCAGCAAAAAGTGTAAGACCCTATCTGAAAAATAACTAAAGCAAAAAGGGCTGGGTGTGTGGGAGCACCTAGGAAGAGTGAGGCCCTGTGTTCAAATCCCAGTATCACCAAAAAAGAAAAGACAGCTTGCATGTAAAGTAACTTTGGAAGGACTTTTACCAGCATGACTAACAGGACCTCTGCAGGAGGGGAGCTGTCACATTCTGGGCTCTTGATTTTTCCATGGTTTTGTTTTCATTTTGGTAATAACCATGAATATTTTCAAAGGCATAAAAATAAATGGTTTTAAAGAAGGCCAGTGTCGGGGTGGGGTGGGGGACAACAAATGGAGCTTCCCTGCACTGGTATCTGTTCTCATGTTACCTCAAACTTCTGTCATAGTCACACCCCATTTCACGTGAAGACAGCACATGACGTGACTAACGTTGACTGGAAGGCAGGGGTAGCCCCTCCCTAGACAGCAAGTCCCAGAAGCCTCTGAGGAGGCTGGGACAGTGGAGGTGCTCAGATCGCAGCCTTGCACAGGTCTCCTTGCTGGATTATGAACACCCCAGACTCAAGCCAACCCTGACTATTGGCACCTACTGTCCATTTTCCTGGATTTTGTCTCTTTTCATCTTTCTGCTCTTGTTTGAAACTGACCTCCCCTAGGGACCTGATCACCCAACTACTGTGCAAAGGCTACATTTCCTCCCTGGCACTTACCACTGTCACAACCATCTCCTGCACTTACTGCCTGGTTCTATTTTTCTCTGTCTCTCACTGGAGTATCTGATTCCCAGGATCTCATTGATTGTGTCCCCTGCTGGATGCCCCAGGCCAAAACAAGGCCTGGCATGCAGCCTAATTAACATTCACTGGATCAATGGCTATGTGAAAGATTTCACTCTGCAAACGCCTGGTCAGGGCTATGCCCTAGTAACTGTCTGGACATGCTTTGGTAACTCACCCACTGCCTTTACCAGCTTGGCTCTACTAGTGTGTGGACCTCGGCAGTCCTCACAGCAACTGGACAGCTAGACCACGGATGGGGTGGATAAGTAACTAACTCGATGGTGGAATTAGGACTCACCATCTGTACCCTGGGAAGGCTGGTGCTATAGTTTAGATTTTTTTTTTTTTTGCAGTACTGGAGCTTGAACTCAGGGTCTCCGAGCTTGCTAGGCAGGCACTTTTACCACTTCAGTCACTCCACCAGCCCTTTTTTGAGTTGAGTATTTTTGAGATAGGGTCTCATGAACTATTTGCCCAGGGCTGATCTCTGCCTCCCAAGCAGCTCGGATTATAGGTGTGTGCTACTGGCATCTGGCTTATTTAAGATCTTATGTGTCCCCCAAAGGCCCATGTGTTAAAGGCTTGGTCCACAGTCCAGTGCTATTGGATATGCTATGGCCCTTTAACTGGTGGGGTCTACTGGGAGGTCCTTAGGTCACTGGCGAGTGCCCACACAGGGGATTACAGGAACACAATTTTCCTCTCTTCTCTCTTTTTTTCTGTTTTTGCAGCACTGGGGAAGGAACCCAGGGCCTCATTCATGCTAGCCAAATACTCCCTCACCAAGCCACACCCCCAGTCCCCTTTTTTCTCTTTTTCGCTCTCTGATTATGAGGTGCATGGGTTCCACCATGATGTACTGCTTCATCACAGGCCCAAAGCAACAGGGCAAACTGATCTCACAGACTGGAACCTCCAAAACTGTGAAGCAAAATAAACCTTTCTCTCTCTCTCTCTTATTTATTTATTTAGCTGCACTGGGATTTGAACTCAGGGCCTCACACTTGCTAGGCAGGTGCTCTTACCACTTGGGCCTCTTTACCAGCCCTGAACCTTTTCTCTTTTTAAGTTGACTGTCTCTGGTATTTGTTATAGTGTTGGAAAGCTGACTAACAGCCGGACTCTTCCACTGCCCTAGCCTATTCTCTCGGGCTGGCAGAATAGGTAGGACTATGTCTGAAGAGGAATGTCCAACTTCCCCTCTCAGGAAACACCACTATTACAAGACTTCACAGGAAATATAGTGTCCGCAGAGGCCCCTTCCTAATGTGGCCACGTGCCAAAGAGAATGCCAGTGCCAGGGCTGGAAGAGGGTGCTGCTGCCCTGGGGCCTGTGGTCACCTTGGGGGTCCACCTCCTTGGCCAGCTTGAGGGCATCCGAGTTGGCCAAGTCCATGTTGGCAGGTGTGACAGCCAAGATGAGACTGCTCTCCCGGCTGATGAACTGCAGGATCATGTCCTTGATCTGGTACTCAATGTCTGCAGGCTGGTCGCCCACAGGCACCTTGGTGATGCCCGGGAGGTCGATGAGGGTCAAGTTCAGCACTAGGAGGGAAATCAGAAGGAAAGGTAGTGAGAGCCCAGGAAAGGGGAGGCACACACAGTCCTACAGAGATCCACATGCTGTCTCCACGTTCCAAGAGAGGGTTAGATCTCAAGACATCTCCTGACGTTCCCTCTGGACCACACCTTTTTCTTTCATCTTAATGCAGTGCTACAGATGGAGCCCAGGGCCTCACAAAAAGAGCCAAGTGCTCTACCACTGAGCCACACCTCCAGGCGTCATCCACACCTTTGATCCAGTACTCCCCTTCTAGGATCCAAGCCCACCGACACACCCTCCCAGCAATAGAGATGTCTCAATTCTGGCACTTCCATTTTTGATTAGAATTCATGCAAGTGGCTAAATAAATCCTAGCCTATCCATCCATCCGTTCATTCAGCCAAGACAGGAGCCATTAAAAACAAAGGATGAGACAGGCTTGGTGGTACAAACCTGTAATCCCACACCTGGGAAAAAGGAGGATATGAGTTTAAGGCCAGCCTGGACTACATACCAAGACCCTGGTCTCAAAAAGTCAAAACTAAACTGGGCATCAGTGGTCCATGCTTGTAATCCTAGTCACCAGGAGACAGAGATCAAGCGAATGGTGGTTCACAGTCAGCCCTGGGCAAATAGTTCATGAGATGCTATCTCAAAAAAATCTATCATAAAAAAGGGCCAGAAGAATGGCTCAGTTGGTAGAGCCCCTGCCTCGAAAGTGTGAGGCTCTGAGTTCAAATCACAGTACCACCAAAAAACAAAGAAACAAACAAAAAATCCCATCACCAGGGAGCCATGCTAAGGAGTCAGAGTATGCAGGGATTATCCCAAAATGCCTCTGAAGTAGTAGCAACACATCTAGCCCCCAGACCTGCTGGGAGCTAAATATGGCTGCAAGCTGCGATCTCCACGCAGTTTTAAAATCAGCACGTTTTGTACAGAAGTCTGGTTTTTGGTTCCTCCTGAGGAACCAGGATATCTAGCTGACTTAAGCCAAGGGTGTTGGTATTTTAATTTAATTTTACTTTATTTATTTATTTATGGTGGTATTGGGGTTTGAACTCAGGGATTCATGATTAGGTAGATTTATTTTATTCTTTTAAATGCAAAATTTTTATTTATTTATTTATTTGTTTATTTATTTATTTAGAGACAGGGTCTCACTCTTTAGTTCAGGCTGGCTTGAACTCTTGATTCTCCTTTCTCAGCCTCTTGAGTGCTGGGATTATAGGCACGTACCACACCCAGCTTCTTGTTGGTCTTCTGAAAAAGGGCACACGGCTGCAATATGTCCCAGTCCCCACTACTCCCCACAGCCTTCCTGGCCTCTGGTGTTCCTCTTAGAGCCGTGTGCATGTAAAGAGAAGAAGGAGGAAGCGTATACTTTGTGAGTGGGCAGTTCCTAACAGTGACTGGCAGAAAGTGGTCTTTCCTCTGCCACCACATCTGGTGGGTTCCCCGTCCATACTACCTACCATGGGGTGAGTAGACCCGCAGGTTGATGGGCACTGGGGAAATGCCTTTGTTGGTCCCCGTTACCCTGTCGGTCTCCGCTTCGATCTCCTGCCGAACTTCATCAAAATCTGTAAACTTTTTGGACTTGCAGTGCAAAAACTCAGCATATTCTGAAAAGAAAAGAAAGAAGGTTCAAGATGAGAAAGAGGCGCTCAAGAAAGGTGGAGGTATGGAACTCCACACCTGCGACTCCAGCTGCTCGTGAGGCAGAGACTGGAAGGATCAAGAATCAAGGCCATCTTGGGCAAAAAGTTAGCAAGACCCCATCTCAGTCAATAAGCCCGGCACAGTGGTGTGTGCCTGCGACCCTAGTTACACAGGAGGGAAGGACAGGCAGGAGCATCACAGTCTGAGACTGGCCCGGGGAAAAACGGGAGACCCAAGGCTCAGAGTATAGGGCACTAGCACTAGGCCCTGGATTCAATCTCCAGTGCCACCAAAAAGAACCCAAACAAAGCAAAACAACAAAAAGCAAACCTAAAAGGGCTAGGAGTAGGGCTCAAGTGGAAGTGGTAGAGCGCCTGCCTAGCAAGCATAAGTTCCACCCCCAGTAAACCAAAAAAGAAGAAGAAAGAAAAGCACTGAGTGACTCTAGGAACTCAGGAGGTGAGGGAGTGTGACAAGTACTGAGGGGCTCTTGTAGAAAGTCTGCTGCAGACCCTGGCGATTCCTCAGGGAATAACACCTGGGGAACACCCCTTACCTCACATGCCTGACAGTAACTACTTTGGAATTTGGACTTTTTCAGATTTTGAAATATTCGCATAGACACAGTGAGCTAACTTGGGGATGGGACCTAAGTCTAAACCTGAAATTCATTTTGGTTCCATGCATAGCTGATCCGTGTGACATGAAGTTCATTTTCTATGCTTTTTTCTTTTTTTTTTTGTCAGCACTGGAGTTTGAACTCAGGGCCCTATACTTGCTAGGCAGGCTACTTGAGCCACAACCCCAGCTGGCTTTTATTCACAGTCATTGGTGCTCATGTGTGTGGACTACAATCCATCATGTACAGTCAGGTGTAGAATTTTCCACTCATAGCATCACATTGGCACTCAGAAAAAGCTGTGGATTTTGGAGCATTTATGATTTTGGATTTTTGAATCAGGAAGGCTCGGACTGTCTGGCAAAGGCTCATCTGGGGACCAGAGGGTCTCATGTAGCATTTTATATCTTGGTATCATTTTGTGTGTGTGTGTGGTACTGCGGTGTTGAAGTTAGGGCCTTCACCTTGAACCATTCCACCAGCCCTTTTTTAGTGATCTCTGTCTCCTGAGTAGCTAGGATCACAGGCCTGAGCCACTGGTGCACGGCTCTTTTTTTTCTGTTTGCTTGTTTGAGGCAGAGTTTCGATATGTGGCCCAGACTGGCCTTGAACCTGGATCCTCCTGCCTCAGATGCCTAAGTACTGGAATTACAGGCATGCACTAACACATCTGACTTCATCACATATTATGAGTTTTGCTTTTTTTTTTAAATTGAACAGGTGGCTGTGATCAGTGTTCATTTATTCTGTTTTGTCTTTCTGTAGTGGTTGGGATTAAACCTTGCACATGTAAACAGGCATTCTACCACCAAGCTATAAACCCAGCCCAGATCTTTTTTTTTTTTTTTAAATGAACAGACTCAATGAGAAAACAACAGATCACACCACCCAGAGAGAAGGTAAGTGTATCTGAGAAGCTTCAGTGCTTACACGACACTGAGTTCTGGGTCCTAACATACAACCTCCATCATGGCAGGTCACAGTCAAAGGAGATAGAAGCCAATCCTAGTAGAATGGGAAGCCACAACACATCCCAGCTATGGGAGAAGCCCTGGAGCATATCATGGGACTCCTGTCCTTCCCCCAGACGCCTCCAAGGTATGGAGAACAGGGCAACCCTGCTGACCTGCCAAAGCCTACCTAATCCTGCCTACTCAAGGGATCCCCCCAACCCGCCCAACACACACACACACACATACACACACACACACAGAGGAGAACTGCTCTGTGTCAATTTAAGAGTCTGGGAACAATAGGAAGGTGTACAGGGAACAAGTAACAAAGGAGGCCATCTGTGTCCTCTGAGAGGCCAGCCAGGGCAAATAGTTCACAAGATCTCATTTCCAAAATAACCAGAGCAAAATGGACGGGTGGTGTGGCTCAAGTGGTAGAGCATCTGCTTAGTTAAGTGCAAAGCCCTGAGTTCAAACCCCGGTCCCACCAAAACAAAAAAAAGCACTGCCTGAACCAGGGTGGCAGCTTTCCTCCTCAGAATGGCTGCAAGATGCTTTAACAGTACAGGGGCCTTAGACACCAGGTTTTCTCAGCAACAGGAAGAGACAAGATGAAACTTGAAACTGGGCATAGTACCTACTACCCTCCTAGGGCTACAAAGGTACTAACATTGACAACAGGCTCTGGGCTCTTTAACTCCTTTAGCCAAGGGTTGGGGAGCTCTCCAGGTGGGCCATGTGAGTGGTCAGTGTTCTCAAGAGGGGACTGGTGCCAGTGCCCTTCAAGGGTCCCACAAGCCAGAGAACCTGAGAAGCCTGGGCTGACAGATGGGGACCACAGGTCCCTGTGTGATGTACTATTCTGCAACCACTTGGGGGTGGGATACAACTATACTTTCCAATTTACTCATGTCTTGGCCATTACCCATGTCTGTACTGATTTCAAGAGTAAATAAAGCTGCCTGATGTCCCATCAAAAAAAAAAAGAAAAGAAAAGAAAAAAAGATCGGGGGAGCAAGTCACACTGGAAAAGAAGTCAGAGAACTAGGGCACCACTGAAAGGTAGAGATGTCCACTGGTGTTTGTCAAAACTGGAGGTAACTTTGACCTCCATCAGGAAGAGACTTGGCTACAGAAATGGCACAGCCACAAGCTGCCTCAAAGGAGGGGACCCAGAGAGACCTCTGGATGTAGGAAGCCTGGGCAGGTAAAGGAAGTACAAAGAAGTGAGAGCAAGGAGGCTCATGTCCCATCACCGGGCTCTACTGTCGATGGCTGGCAGTCAGCCCTCGCCCCCTCGGTCATGCCCTGCACGTGGTCCCTCGCATTCCAGTCTCTCAGCAGGTAGGCAGTTCCATGATGCCCATTTCAAAGATGAGGAAGCTGAGGCCCAGACAGGTAAGGTGACTGAGACATGGACCTCAGATAACCTGGCCTTCCAAGCCTCAAGGCCTTTTGGGGCCCCCAGTAGGCTCAAGTCTATGTACAGCATGGGTGCTGGCCACCCGGAAGCAGGAGCAGTGAGGACAAGGGCTGGAGGATCTTGGATCACCTCCCCCAGCCCACCATGCTATCAGCTGACCCAGTTCCTAAGGACAGCTGCTCTGGCTCTCCACAGGGACAAGAGGAAACACTCAGCCTCTTTTCCTGTGACAGCCACTAAAAATGGAACAGCTTCCCAACCCCCACAGAATTTCACTATGTTCTCCAGGCCTTGGGTTGGCCACCTCCATCAAGGAGTGGAGGAGACAGTGGAATGGAAGAGGGGCCAGAGATCTGGATCTGGGTCCTGCCAGGCCTCACCTCTCCCAGCTCCTCTAGGGCCAGCCTGCCTGTAGGCAGCTTTCCCTGAGTCCTGCATCTTGGCCTCCTTCTCTGGCTAAGTCAGGTCACTTTGAACTGTTTATGGGACAGGAACCTGAGGGTTCCAGCTCCTGGGAGCCCAGAATCCATTGAATGTTATTAGCTTAGTCTGCAGTGGAGAGCCTGCCCAGGCCTCAGCCTCCAGATCTGTAAAATGGGCAAGCCAACAGGGCCTGTGTCAGGACTTGAGAGATTAACACTCGCACAGGGAAAGTGACAGTCAGCCATGCTGCCATCTGAGTGGGCAGAGGACCCCAAGGCACAATATGGCAAGGGGAAAGGTGGAAGCAGAGAGCTCCATCATTTCCATGATTTGCACAAGAGGCAGTCTAGACAAGGCAAGCTACTCTCGAAAGTCACACAGCAACCTCCCCACCACACCTCCTGTAGGTCCTGATACAAACATTCCCTTTCCTTGGACATGCTCAGATGCTGGCGATGATTTTGTTAATGATCTGCTGTCTCAAAGCGTATGTCAGGGACCTTAAGGCGGAGCTCCCTCTTGACTTGTCCGCAGCAGCCAAGGCTACCAAGCTACAGCCAGCTATGCCTATCCTGGTCTTCACTGCGAAGCTGCACCCCTCCCTCCTTCCTGGTCAGTGTTTCCAGGTGACAAAGCCAGTTCCTCTGGCCCTGGACTCAGCCCTGTAGCATCAAGTCACACACCCCCACTGGCAGCAGAGTGATTCCGCCACCCTGCACTCTGGGCCAGAAAGGACACTTCCAGGGGCTCTCAGCTGGCTTCACAGGCCCTAGTTAGTCTGGCACACAGCAGGAAGAAAGGAAGAAACTGGGCCCTCAGCCAGCAGCCACAATGCCAACCCCAGCCAACCACTGCGTGACTTCCCCAGAGTGACCTAACTGTGGGCTCCAAGGAGGCACCACCAGGGGTTCTAGTGGCGCTGCCTCCCTTCCAAGCCCATGTGCCCCATGGAGGCTGAGCTGTGAGCATGGAGACTGGGTTTGGGTGCTGCTCTCCCCTCGGTCTGGCACATGCTAACTCCTTGTTACTAAGGGTCAGATGCTCTAACCTAGAAGCGCATCACCACCCCTGACTCCCAACAGGCCCCTACTGTGCTAAGCAGCCCACCTGGAAAGGCACGAGGAAATAGTCCGAAGACTGTCTCCAGTTCCCCCAGGGAGCCCTGTCACAGACATCAGAAGACAGTCTTCCTGCCCCAAAGGCGGTCATGTGGCATTTCCTAGCAGTTGTGAAAGGCCAGTTCCTGCTGGGAAATCTGCCTTCAGCCCTGCCCCTCAGGCTCCGGGAGGTTGACTCAGAGGCACCCCACAGGATTTGGGGAAGTAATATGAAGATAAGAGGGAGGGGTGTGCTCCTCGTGCCATGGCGCCACAGCCTCACCACACCCAGCTGGGGCTTCCAGTCCTCCACTCAGTGACTCAGTTTCCCCACAATGCAATGAGTCAGTACAGAAAGGGCAAAGAGAGACTCTACCCATAGCTACCAATCTCCTCCACTCCCAGGCAGGCAATGAACAAAACCAGCAGGCTGACCCCTGATGGCAGGACGAGATAAGATCTGCTTCTCTAAACCTGGCATCGTGGCAGACATGCCTTGGCATGGAAGACTAGAGGCTCAGACACACTTGACTACAAAGGACCCGTTCATGCAGGACTTTTCAGAGCCTTTAGCTAACCAAGACAAGGGCACAGCACAAGGCATTTCACATTCCGGTTTGGTCCTTGGCTTGAGACAAGCAGTGAACATCTCTCAGTGGGGGACACACTGCCACTCAGAAGGTGACAGTGCAGGCTGGTGTCCTAACCATCCTCCAGACAGAGCCAGGCTTCAATACACTCACTTTTTTCTTAAACACAGAAGCACCTCAGAGCCTGGCAAGTATGGTGAGATTACTAGTCTGCAGCTAAGGACCCAGCAGGGTCTCAGTCTTTGCCCTGCCCCCTGCAGACAACAGAGGTACAGGGTTTATAAAAAGGGCTCCTGGGGGAAGGTGCTGGAAAAAAGTAGTGGACAACCTTGTCTTCTTTTTTTCTTTTTGAGACAGGGTTCTCACTATGTGCTCAGGTTGGCCTCGAACTCGCAATCTTTTCTGGCTCAGTGTCCTGAATGCTGGATTATAGCTGTGCACCACCATGCCTGCTTCTTCTTCTGCCTGCTTCTTCTTTCTTTTTTTAAATATGAATCTTATTATGTTGCTTTTTAAACTTGCAGAGTTTCAAGCAGTCCTCCTGCCTCATCCCCCAGAACGGCTGGCACTGCAGGTGCCGGTCACTGAGTGGACAGCACGCCACTTTTCCATTGGAAAAGAAGGGCGCTCAGCAGCCTGGCAGGGCACGCAGACTCATGGCATAAGGTGAGAAAGGTGGACAAAGCAGATTGGCATCCCTGCCTCGGGGTGCTGCCATACCAGTGATAAGACTGTGACAAAAACATGAGAACTGGTTGTGTCATCTAACACATGCTGCAGGGTTACCAAATGACCAGGCTGGGATAGGGGTGGGGGCCCCCCAGCAGAGGAGGTGCAGCCGTTCTAGGCAGGGAACACAGTGAGCACAAAGGCCCCCGTCATGGTGACAAAGGAGTCTGAGGATCAGCAAGGAGACTGTGCCAGCAGCAGGGGACCAAAAGGAGCTGAGCAGCCACCAAGAGCTGTTCAAGGTCACTAAGTTGATGGGAAGCCTGGGAACCAAGTCCTGACATTTTTTCTTTGGCTTCACAAGCACAGACCAAGGTCAAGGTCACGATCAAGGCAAGGGTGGGGTTCTCAGCAGGCCTCATCATCCACATTCCATGCAGACAGCATCCCCGCACCCAGGGTTTATAGGCCCAAGGGTGGTACCCAATGAGGGCAGAGTTCACACACAGGCCACTAAACTTCCTGGTGGCTGCGGTCAGTCACGGGTAATTTTTAAACAGTGCCAGGCAAAGTAATGCTTCACCAGACCAGCCTGAACAAGAAGCCAGGCAGCCCTGAGTGCCTCAGGAGTCAGAGGGGAGCACTCAGGCCCAGCCTCAGGGGCCATGACTTTGGGGTAGCTATGCACTACAACCCTTTGTATATGGGGAAACTGAGGTATAGAAAGGAAAGTCTGAGTCCCTGACCAGTAAGTGGTAACAACCTGGCTCTGAAACTAGGTCCTCGAGAGCCAGTTTGAGGATAGTAGAATCTCTAGGAGCCCATGTAGACTCCCAAAGTTCTGCAATGTAACCATTTGCTTCCTTTTCTTTTTTTTTGGTACTGGGGTTTGAACTCAGAGTCTATACCTTGTGCAACTCCACCAGCTTTTTTGTTATGGGTGTTTTGAGACAGGGTCTCGTGAACTATTCACCCGGAGCTGGCTTCAAACCACAATCCTCCTGATCTTTGTCTCCTGGGTAGCTAGGACTACAGGTGTGAGCCACCAGTGCCCAGCTGCTTCCCTCTGATAGGCAGAGTATCCTGCCTTTCTCAGCTCGGGGCCTCTGCTATTGGATGCCTACCCTGCAGTTCACTATAGACTGTCCTTCTCCCTTGTGGCCCGGCTTTGGCCTCTCGCTTGCTACCACACCATCTCCTTTCCTCTCCCTGTCCCTCCTCCGGTGGGCTATGCCTGGTCTCCAGTATCCCCAGCCCACAGTGCTGCCCAGACAGCACTGCCTGCACCTCTCACCCTACCTCCCACATCTGCTGTCTCACCAGGCTGGGACTAGGGGGACCATGTTGATGCACTGATGCTGCCTTCCTGGTGTCCCACTAAACCCCAGCACAGAATGGTCACTAATCAGGATCACTGAGGCTGGAGATACCAGCCTCATCCTGTGGGAGACACAGGATGGGCCACTGCCATGTGAGACACTCCCAGGGCTTCCTCTCCTTCCCCTCCCCCAAAGCCCAACACAACTGTGTCTATCTTCACGGCTGCTGCCCTGTCCTGCCCCAGCACCTGCTCCTGCCTTCTTCCAGGTGCCATGAGTCCCTCCCAGAAGCCATCAGGATCAGGTCAACCAAATGCTGCATTTCCCAAGAGCAGGCCTCCAGCTGGGCTCTCAAGATGACGGTCCCTGTGCCCTCAGCTCTGAGTGGGACTGCCCACTGATGTAACTCTTTATCCAGCTGGGAACTGGGCAAGAGGTTCTGTCCATGGTGCTCCTGGCCAGAGAGGCAGAGGGGCCTGTCATGTGTCCCCACATGAAGGAATTTCAGTTTCTCTGACAGCCCACACTGGGGTTCACCCACACTGGCTCTGCTATGAATGTAGGCATATCCCAATGTACCTGTCACCCTCAGTTCCAAGGTCACCTCCTTGCAGAGGCCCTCTGAGGCAGAGTCCCCTTCCCCACACCACACTCATTCTCCTCTGATGAGGGTTAGACATGCACAGTGTCCTCTTGCTCTCTCCCCAGTCTCCCTCATCTAACCCCTGGGGACCATGGGAGAGCAAGTGGCAGATGGTGACCCCTAAACCCCAGTCCCTGAAGCAGCCTGTGACACACAGTTAAGTGCTCAGTGGACCACTGCTATGTGACAGGGCCTCTGTGGGGGTGACAGATGAACCCTTCCCAGTCCCCACAACAACAGTAACAGCAATCTTCCAAGGCAAGAAGCCAGGTGACCAATTCTCCCAACAAGCTGTCCACTCAGCCATCAGGGTGGTGCTCGCAAGAGCCGGGTGCATGCCAGACAGACTTACTGAATAATGTGGTCTTCCCAGCATTTCCTGTCACTGTACAGGGGGTACATGGGTGGTAAGGGGTCCTCCCCAGGGGTCAGGTCAGGGACCTAGAATATCTTGGTTCCCTGCTGCAGCAACGTCACCTGGAAACTCATGACAAATGCCACATGGAGATTCTTGTCTGGAAAGCCCTAACTCTGCCTCCACTTCTCTAGCACTGCTGATTGGATGGCTGATCCAGAGGTGGCAGCCCATTGGCCCCACTGTGGCCTATCACATTGCAGAGCTAACAAAGATGAGGATCTGAGCCAATCCACCACCACTAACTTTGCAGACACACCCCTATGCTGGGTGTCTCAGGCCAGATCCCCCTGGCTGAGGATCCCTTGCTGAAAAGGGGCTAAGCCTCAGTTTCTCTTGTCTGCAAAATCAGCTACAGAAAATCTCTGGGGAAAACTGGCAACGTGTGAATAACATCTAGAAACAATTCCTTTTCTTGGGTCTGGTTTGGTGAGGAAAGTGTCCCTATTGCACAGAGACATACAATGAAGCATTTTGAGCTGTCCTGTTCTACTGATTTAGAAAGCAATTATGGCACCTGCTGGCCTTTTCACAGTTGAGGACTCTGGGGATGGGGGAGCTCATTGAGCTCTTTTTTCAACTTCCCTGCACACACAGGATGAGTGAATTCAACCCAAATGACAGCTGAGGATCCAAGATGCCTCTCTGGGGCTTTGGCTCCTCCCAGGCACCACATTCATGTTCATTTCCTGATGCAGGTGCCACCTCATACCTGTTTTTGAGAAGATGAGTTGCAGGATGAGAGGCCGCCGAGTGACGATCCCTGAGCCTCGGGGAAGGAAGTCCCTGTGAGAGAAGAAAGGGACAGAAGTTATTCATAAGTCTCGCTGCAGGGGCAGGAAGTGCGGTCACACATGGTCTGCAACACTGTCTCTTGCAAACCTCAGCAAAGACACCAACCTCAGCTGGGTTCTGAGGAGCCCACTGGTCTTGGAGGGTCCTGAGGCCCAAGGACTGAAGGTCGCTGGGACCAAAGACAGGTTGTATTCCAGTCTTAGCACTCTCAGAAGGCTCTCTCCTTGACACATATTCAGACAACCTCTGCCATATTAAAAAGTGATCAGTGTTGGGCACAAAGCAAGGTGGTACATATCTGCAATCCCAGCTACTCAGAAGGATCAAGGTTCCAGGCCAGCCTGGCTCAAGTGGCAGAGTACCTGCCTAGCAACACAAGGCCCTAAGTTCTCTCTGCAGAGAGGCGGAGAGAGAGAGAGAGAGAGAGAAGAGATCAATACATTCTCTACCTGTTTTAAGTTATTATAACACCACACATATGGCATAAAGGCAATATAAGTGAAAAGGATGACAAATGAGGATGTGTTTCATGGCCAGAAAAGATGAAAACCACTGATTTCAGAAAGCAAATCAGTGGTTGCCTGGGGGTGGGGACCGAACTGACTGCAAAGGGAAGGAAGGAAGCCTCCTGGGGCACAGGAATGTTCTGAAATAGTACTGTGACAATGTTACCAAAACCTGCTGTGAGCTTACTCACAGTGTTTACACTGTGCTAGGTTCCATAAACCATGCTGCAGATTTCACCGTCCATATTTACACACATACCCACAAAACATAAAGCAACCTATACCAACCCACTCTGCGTACATTTGAATTGAAGCAATGTTAAAAAGGAGAAAGAAAACAGGCTGGGCTTGGTTGATCACACCTGTAATCCCAGCACTGGGAAGGCACACTTAAGCATCCCGAATTTGAAGATCCTGTCTTGGGCTGGTGGAGTGGCTCAAGTGGTTAAGAGCACCTGCCTAGCAAGCATGAAGCCCTGAGTTCAAACCCCAGTACCACATGAGAGAGAGAGAGAGAGAGAGAGAGAGAGAGAGAGAGAGAGAAACCCTATCTCAAAAAAGTAGGAAGGGAAAGAAAGGAAGGAGGAAGAAAAAATAATGAGCTGGAGGTGGCTCAGTAGTGGCCCTAGGCTCCTTCCCCA